TCTATGCTAGATAAGTAATTATGAACAGATAAATGAGTTTCATCACTGAAAATAAGCTTTTTCCAGTTATTTATGGTCTAAGATTTGTATTTTTGTGGCCCACAATAATTGCTTTGATTCATTTGACATGCCAAAAGTTGTTTTTTAAATAGTTTTCTTTCCTTTCAGCCAGCAGTGGGAAGTCTGTGCTGTATGTACGTTTGAAGGACGAATATCAGTACCATTAGATAAGAGATCTTTCTTAAAGTCTTTGTTACTTTTTGTAGGATTAATAATGTCATTTCAGAGTAGCATCATTGATCATGATTTGGAGTTGTTTTCATTTTCTTCCCACATTTGCTCATCCCTTCTGGAGAAAATGATACAGTTTCATTGTGTCTTCTCAGAATTTGAAAAACGCTTGATTTTCCAACACGAGCTGCAGAAACAACACTTGCTACAGTCTTGGATGTGTGATTGTTAAGTGTAATAATCTTTGCTCTCTTTCTAGGCATTAGATTCATTTTTAGTGCACTAAAATGAACAAAAGCAAAATATACTTAAGAAGTACGCAAAAGTAACTATTCTCACTTGAACAAACTTAAAAATAGTACAGGAATTCTAACTGTCTAAACCAACTCTGAATAGTCGAAAGCAGATATCCAGATGACATTAAGGCAGATAAAATGGCTTTGGCTGATGCCAGCTGGGATTCAAAATTTTGTGAAAAATTTCCTTTGTCCCAATTAATTTGCATACTATAGCATCTGAATTCTTAGTATAGCTGTCAAACAATAAGTATTTAGCATCAAGTTCTTTTATGATGGATGATAAAAATATGTTCTTAAATTTTTCATCATTAACTGCATCACATGCTTATATAAATTATGCTAGGTATTTGCTAGCCATTTTTATTATTGTTTAGGAAAAATTGGAGAGAAGAGAGACAGATCAAGGTTTTTATTATTTGTGTCTGTGTAAATAAAATTTAGACATTATTCAATTTTCTTTTTACTTCCTTTGTGTTATTTTTTAAAGAATATTATTGTATGTTATTTAATCAGTTGGTTAAGAAAGAAAGGATTGTTTTTACATGCATTATATCAGACACTGCTTTATAAATGTTTAGTGGTCCTGTGATTTCACTAATATTTGTAATTTTAACAAAAAATTCTTTGTAGTTTTTAATTAAAATATAAAGCCATAGTTTTTTTAAGAGGCTGTAGAGAAAACACTTTTTACCTTTTCCTTCCTTCCCCCCTTTTTTTTTTAAAAAAAAGCACTACCTTTCTTTGAGTTGAAACAAAATTAATTTTATTGGCTATTTATAACCTATATCATATGCATGTGTATAATTTGCATATAGTGAATACATTAAAATATTTTCATTTAGTTTTTGAATTTGTAATTTTATTATTATAAAATATATTTTAAGGTCAAAAGTAACCAGTTAAGCATTACAATGATATTTTTATTATGATTATAGATGTAAATGCACAATTTTAACAATATGTAAAATATAAGAAGCACTTTTAAAAATATAACAACAAACCTTTAAATAATTTTGTGTTAACACATTTAAACTTTTTGACACATTTATTTATAGTATAAATGTTCATTTTACTTCAAAAATTTTACTTTAAGGGAAGTTAATGACCTAACACTGCAATAGTGTATTGTAGTATAAGTGAAGAAACTGATAGTTTCACTTGCGCATGTATTAGATTTGCGCAATGCTTATGGGGTCCCACAAAATTTTCATAAATATTGTGGTGTCCCCACACCAAAAATCCCTGTTTTAAACATACAGAGAAAGCTGCTGATTTCAAAATTAAATGAAAGATTAAATCTGATCAAAAGTGGATTGAAAGTTCTTGAAGACAATTTTCCTAAGCATTGATTACAGCAACTAAGGAAAAGGGGAAAATTATCCTTGTCTTCTGTGGGGAAACTTCTAGAAAAAAGAGGTTGTTAAAGACCAGACTTCAGTGCATGATTTCTTTAGTCTTTAAATATCCATCCATTTCTACCTGATCATCTGATTTTATAATCATAACACAAATTATGTTTATTATTAACAAGCATTTTTAGCCCAAAGGTGCATTAGCACAGAATGGCTATTAGTTTTGAAACAACATTTTGCGACGAATCACTATAAACAGCTGTATCAATTTTCAAATTGTTGCCACCAAATATTATTGCCCTGTATTATACTTAAAGAAATTAAGTAATGAAGAATCTGCATGAATGTATGCATGTTTCTGACATTGTGAAAAAACAACAGTACCTAGAGCAATCAAATTTTAAATAACTTAGAACATGTGCAATGCACTACCCTAAGACGTACAGCTGGAACCCCAAATTTTGAATTTGTTTTACTATCTATTTCATATTTTTGTAAACTTTAATGAATTTTTGATTAAGAAACTCAATGATTTCAAAGCGAGAATTGGCAACACGCTATACGGAGTAAAATATTTTTATCTTCAGTGCATGAGGCTATCAGTCGGAAATTCTAAACAAATGCAATTTTTAAATATTTTTAGCCCAAATTCTCTCAAAACATGTATGTATGTATAAATGAAAAAATCACCTCTTTGGGTGTAATATCAAATCCCAAAGCTTTCAGATTTTTTTTAATATTATGCATAGTTATGAATTTTAATTCTGTATGTATTACAATTGCATAAGTGAATGTAATATTCATTTATTGCAAAAACTAATTTCACAGTATCATCATTTTAACACTTCATCTGTAAAAAAAAACTCACATCATCTATTTTAACATTTCATCTATAAAATAATGTACCTTGACTTCTGTCTTCAGTGTGAGAACAAATTTCTATACAAATTTGTATAATAAATATAATTAATGGACTTTAGAAGCTTAAGTGTAAGCATTCAAATATTCAGGAATCTTTTTATTTGGTTAATTAATTATAGTAAAACATTTGGGAACTGTCTGTCATAAGCTTAATGACTTAATTGTGTATCCTCTGAGAGTATTTATGTGTTATTTGGGAGAAACATAAAATTCCTAACCAATCCATTCTGTAGCCAGAAATCGAACCATGATTTTCAGCAAATTTAGTTACTGATGGGTTATGTCCTTCTGTCGATTATATAAGCTTGAGTTATTAGTTAAGAGAAGTAGCTTCTAATTGATAAAAAAATTCAGTTTATATTTTGGTAAAGGGTACACACAATCATTTTTGCCTTCTCATCTCCCAGCCTTGCATTAAACAAAATAGTTCTAGTTCTTGGTCCCTTCAAATCCTCAAGTTCTCAGAAAGACAATAAATAAATGGAGTTTTTTTTTTTTTTTTTTTTAATTTTTTATTTGAATTCTGAACCAACCATTCCCTTTGATTATTTTTCTTCCAATATATACACTGCCTTAATTGTCTGGATATAGTTCAAGATGCATATCTATGTACTTAAAAATATCATGACTAATATTTTTAGAGTTATAAGGATGGTTTAGTTCCTGGGCAAGTTAAAAGATTATCATATTAGCTAATCCTAATTTCATTGCTGAAGGCTTTCCCAACTGAATTTCTTTTTTAAAACTTAGAATTTAAGAAAATAACACTTGTGTGTTGTATTGGATTTTATGTTTTTATTGCTTGTGTATCTTCATAAAAAATAATAAAGGTTATTTTAGTTTTGCTAAATTGTACTACACTTTTCTATGTTATTAAATTCAAAACTTCAGTTTTTAACAGTTAAAAAATTTTTATGCATTGATAGGTGCACTTTTTTTAAATTTTATTTTATGTTCTTCAAGTAAATGAAGGATGGAGTGTTAAATGCAATACAGAAACATTTGAGAACTGTTATAATATGATATTCTATGTGAGAAAAGAAAGCAGGTGAAATTTTTTCAGTCATAAATGCCGCATCATTGACTGTCTCATTCAGATTTAGTTGTTAATATAAGAATCAGACAAATGTTGAGTAAATGCATCATTTTATTGCCCGTAATATGAAACATAAATTGATTTAATTCATGCACTGTGATAATTTTCCACTCATAGTGTTTTTTAAGAAGTCAAAGCTATCATTTCTAAGTTGCTTTCTTAGTTTCTTGAAAATTTTAAAATTCTAATTAATATCATTTGAGATAGCTTGAAGGTTATACACATGAATGAAGACTTAGCACTTTTAAATCAAAATTTATTCCCTAATTTTCATTTGTGCCTCTACCAGTGAGCCAACTCAAACACTATAGTGAGGTTAAATGTAATCATATAAACAATGTTTTAAGAATAAAAAGTATAAAATTCATATTTAAATGCAATGGAGTAGTTAAAATACAAAGCAGAAGCAATAGATTGCTTCTGAAATGTTCTAGATTGTGATATACAGTGTGAGAAATGCTATTTGTGGCAGGTTTCTGTATTATTTTTTGATAATGAAACATCTGAAATCAGCCCTAATAATCGTCATAGCAAATTATTGAAAATCCTTCAATTCCTGACTTGGTTTCACACTGCATAATTGCTGTTATATCTTATAACTTTTTAAGTCTTCTCGTATCCCACATTTTTATGTTTATTAAATCAAACTTGATTAAAAGGTGACTTTACTGAAAACAGTTTGGCCTGCATATTTGTTTACAGATGTGAAAGCATGAGTAGGCTCCTGCAAATTTTAATATGGGCAATAATTTATATATTGAAATGTATTATTTGGAATAATCTAATCCTTTGCCCTTTAAATAAAAGTTGCAGTTGTTTACACATATTAATTTAGTTTTAGTTTAAACAAGTGATACAATATGCAGAAATTGCAGTTATCTTTTTCATTCACCTTTTGAAAAACCTGCTATATATTTAATATATTTAAAATGTGAACTTCCGTGGAACTTTATTCTTTGATTATAATGATCTGTATGTAAATTAATATAGATGTTATTCTTGAATGCTGATGTCTATTTTAAATGCTGTCTTTCTTTATTTTCTCTGACCATTGCCTGTGGAGTATATAATTTTAATTGAGTGGGAACATTGTATTTTCAGGTATGCCTCCAATACCATCTGCACAACCTACACCAGGACATGCTCAAGGTATGGGTGCTGAACCTTCCATGTCAAGTCCAATGGTTGGTCCACCTCAGCCTCAAGGTATGCTGCTTTATTCTGTAAAAAGTTTTTGAATGCTTTTTGTGTATTACATCTGAAGTTTGCATGGAGTTTTGTTGCTGTGCGTTTTTTATAGCTTGTCATCTGCTTTGGCTGATATGCTGATAATTAATATTTTGTGCTTTCTTTTTCTTTTCATATTTTTTGGCCATCTGTATATTTGTATGCTAAGCCTGTCACTGCAAAATTGTTTTAACTTTATAATTAAAGTTGCATTAAGCTTGAAAATTTGTGCATGAAAGGCCAAAAAGAATCTTTCTTAACAATTAAGTATATGTGGAGTTTGGTGTGTGTTGAATGAGTAGAATTTTTAAAAGTTACTTTGTATGTTCTTTAAAAATTCTTTTTCAATACTTTATGTATTCAATGACACTGGTGCTTTTTAATGTTAATTTACAAATCACTTTTCTTAATGTAAACATTAATTTATATTATGTTAATTATTTTAAGCTAACAGATTTAATATTTAAGTATTTTTTGTTGGTTCTTTTTTATGATACACTGCAATTAAATATGATAAAGCTTTGTTGAATGTAGCATTTCTATTTCTAAAAATTGTTAATGAATATTTTAATCAAATACTTCTGTATAGAAATTCACTCTGTCTTTCAATAAATCTTTGGAGTTGACCAGCATTCCTTGATTATGTATGGAATTTTTTAAAATTCTTTTTCACTGTAGGATAACACACTTGAAACAATTTTGCATGAAAAGTTATATGGACCAACTTGATACTTCCAATGAAAAAATATACCTCCATCATAAATTCATGTGAAGATGCTGGAATAAACTCAAAAACACATCTGAAATTATTTTAACTGATTTTATTGCTGGTCACCTTTAAATTCAATATTTTATTTCTATTCTTTAGTCTTCTTGTTTTCAAACTAAGTATTCCCAATAAGAAGTTTTGTAAATGCGGTAGTTTGATTTAGTGCTTTGTTTATTGAAACAACTAACCTACAAGGTATCTCGTATGTTATGAAAATTTTACTGCCATGTTATCTTATAATGATAGCAGCCCCCTTTGAATACTCGCAGCAGCGTAAAAGAAGAATATCTGAAATATAAAATTTCAAAATAAATGTACAAGATTAAAAGATAATTTTTCTCATAATTAAATGATGAAAGATTGTTTTTTTTTTTCTCTTGTTTTTGTCTTTCCCCCTTTTTTTGGGAGGAGGCTTCCATTACTTTTTAATTTTGTTAAGTTGTTTTAAAGGTGTGCTGCTTGTATAATAGAATCACTTCTAAAACAAGCAGTAAATTTTGTACATATTATAATAGTCTATGAAAGGAAACTGAAGTTAAATGTGTTTAGCTGCCATTCACCGCTAGAGTGAATCTGCCAAATTCACTTCAAAAATGCAAAATTTTTTCCTAATTACTTTCATTTCTATGAAACTAAAGTTCCATTTAAAGTTTTATAATGATGAAATTTTAGTGTTTAGAACATTAAGTTTTCTTATTAATTTGTAACTTTTTAAAAATTAGTCTTAGCCTGATATAATTTGATGTGGATATTTTTGGTCATCTAAAGGTCAGGGCAATAGTCTATTGTTTCTATCCTCCCTGGATTCTTTACATTTGTCTTTCTACAATGGTTCCTGTTTTTACTTATGGAAGCCTTGAAGGAAACTTTTTATATACAGTCAAAAGTCATTAATTCGGACATCCATAATATGGAATGATCTATAATCCGGACCTCAAAGCTACAAACTTTCTGCGCATGCATCGGGTTGACACATGCGCGTAAGAAGACCTTTACAGCTGCAAATATGCGTGTGCGCAAAATACGTTTACGAATGCGCGTTTAATGTATAACGGACGGTATAAGCTAAGCTAAAATTATCTAATTCAGTTAATGTTGCAGATTGCGTTGTTCCTTAATCTTTGAATTAGATTTGGCTTATTATTTTTTGCAGACTGTTAGAGCAATTTTATAAAAGTAAGCTTGAACTTTCGATTATGTCAAATAGAATTTCTGATATATATTTACTAATATGTAAAGGATCTACAAAGCGAAAGTAAGTTTCGAAGTCCATTAAACAAAAAGTGGAATTGCTGCAAAAAATGGATAAAGGCATATCCTTTGTTTATCTAAACTTTGTTTATCTTTAACGCCGCAGCGCGCAATGAATTGGAAGTTGATCTGTCAGCACTATCCTTATCTTCAGGGCAGATGTTTTTATTTTATTTGGCTTATAATTCCTTACTTAAATGTAGTATTTCATCTCGATGTACTCCGTCTTTGATATGATTTAAATCAAATTCCTCGTCATTATAATTCGCTTCCGATAGCAAAGAAAGTGACAGAGGTTATTGAAAACGAAAAAATTTCGATTGACAAATTAGTCGGTATTCTCGACACAGCAATTATAGGACTTGAACAGCGGAACTTTGTAACTAAACAAGAAATTATGTCTGTTTAATAGAATTAAAGAGAATGTATTATCACATAAAAAACGAAGCAACTTAAACAACTTACATTGAAAGAAATGTTTAATAAAGTAAACAAATAAATATTAAGCCCCCCCCTTTTTTTTTTTTGTAAATTTTGATACCCTTTAGATTGTAATTGTTCTTTATTTCATAAATTAGTTTCATGTTTTTAATTTTATAATTTCTGCATGCCATCTTACCAGATTTAAACTGATGACCTATAATAATATAATATATAAAAATCGATAATCCGGAATCGCCAAAGTCCCGACGGGTCCGGATTAACGACTTTTGACTGTACTTTGTTCAGTATCCTAATTTTTGGAAACTAGTTGGACACATGCTAATAATCATATCATAGCTGCCTACTCTTACAGTTTTTCATAACATCTCCTAGTCTCCTAGTAGATCACTGAATTTTGCAATTTTTAGCTTTTAAGAAAAAGATAATGTTTCCCAGCAATAAATGAAAATTATTAAACTAATGAAGCTTGAATTAGACAAATTCCATTCAATTTTTCATATGAAATTTTATTTCTTTTGAATTTTTTTTTTTTTTTTTATTACATATTATTGGTCTTATTAAATTTCACTTGATCTGATTTGTCTTAACTTACTGTAGACATTTATAGCTTTTTATATGAAAATTCAAACAATGTTTAATCGGTTAATATTCATATTTAATTTTGCCTTGTATTAGTATGTAATATCAACACAGTTTATCAATGCAATAATAGGTATATTACTCATTAATTTTATTTTCACCATATTTAGAAGTACTTTGGTAAATAAAAAGCTTTTGAAAAATGAAATTAGCTGAAGAATATAAATTTAAAGTATCCAATTAAAAGCTAGTATATTTTACATCAGAACTGAATTAAAATATCTCAGTAGCCAGAATCATGCATTATAAAATGAATTAAAGTCAGTTTGGAGTTCCTTTGAAATGGTGCAGCCTGAAAACCTTCTGGTTTTCTTGTAGAAATGTTTTGGTTTACAAAATTTCAATGTTAGCAGCTATGTCATGTGGATGTACTTCAATTTTAGTTTATCCAATCCATCATGTATCTTATATTATCTTTAACTCCTTTCTTGTTCTTTTTTGATGTTTTCTGAGAAAGATTTGCCAGGTTTTTTTTGTATAAGCAGAGAGGGTGGGAGGAATTTTTACTACAGAAATACTATATATGTACTGCAAAATTAAACGAATATGTGTTTTTTTCAAAAAGTATTGAACCAAAGGTAGTAATTGTGCAACCAAAGAATTATGCAGATATTCAGAGTCAATTACGTAAGTGTACAGGTGCGTCTTTGCAGAGCTGTGATTTTGGAAGAGATATCAAGACATGATGTGTTTTTGATGGTTTGTATGCCATATTCCTTGACAACATTCGGCAAATTTCTTGGAAGAGTGAATTTTATGAGGTATCAGCAAAATGAATATGAATGAACATATGGATGATGAAATGAGATGTAGAATTGTTGGTAGATTAGAGGCAGGTCAGTCAGTCACTAGTGCAGGTGGCTACAGAGCACAATGTAATGCCTAGTGTTATCTGCAGTTTGTAAAAACAGTTTCAGGACACTGGATCCTTACTGAGAAGACATGAAAAGGTTGACCAAGATCCGCAACTTTGAATGAGGATCATTAGTTGGCACTTTCATTGTGCCAATGCAAGGCTGCTACAGCTTCACAGCTCTCAAGTGAGCTGTATGCTTCCACTGGAACTTGAGTCTCATGGTCTGCATTGTCCAGAGGCTTCATGAGATAGGACTATTTACCAGAAAACATGCTGTTTGTATCCCACTCACTGTGTCACACAAGAAATCATGTTTAGCTTGGTGGAGGCAATATGTGCCTTGGACTAGATATCAATTTAGCACTGTGCTTTCTACAGATGAGGCAAGATTCAACCTGGACACTGATTCTCAGCAGCTGTATCTGGAGAGAGCCTGAACATAATACCATTCCTACCTCAGCAGGGAAGAGGACCATTATGGTAGTTATACCATTAGGTAGGCAATATGTTGGACTGCTGTGAAACCCCTACTTGTGTTTGACAGAGATTTCCTGACAGCTATGAGGTACAAAGAGGAGATCCCAGAACCCTGTGTTTTTTGACTTTTTAGGGGTACAGTTTGTCCTGGGTTTCTGTTAATGGACAGAAATGCTTGTACACATAAAAGGCTCAGCTGGTTGACAGTTGCCTGGAAACTGAGAATATTCACCACATGGATTCACCAGCCAGATTCCCTGACCTTAACCCTATAGAAGATGTCTGGAACATTATTGAGAGGGCAATTTCATCTCGCCTTTCCCTCTGAGAGCCATCCTGCCGTTGAAAGTTAAAATCTGGAAAAGTCAGAGAATTTCATACAGAAATCATTGATATTTAGGCTTTATCCATAAAATATCATTAAAATTATGTTTAAATAATAGAGTATAAAAAGTAAATTGACTAGTAATTTGAAAATTAAGATCATTGTATTTTTTAAAAAATATGATATATTTATGATTTTTAAAAATATTCAGTATAATTTATTTTTTGTTTTAAAATTTGCATGTGATGTTAATTTGTCGAAAGGTTAGGATTATGATTTCCTGGGATAAAGTATTTGTAATATAACTTTAATTATTTTAATATTTTAATTAGCAATATGAAATTAGAATGTAGGAAAAAAAAAGCATAGTTGAATGTTTTTGAAAGTTTTGTCTAGTTAAAATTGTTGGTATGCAAAATGGGACATTCAGCATTCCTTAAATTAGAATAAAAATATGAATATTTTTGGCACTAAATTTTTTTGTCAATATATCTGTGCTGCTATATGACCTGCTAAACTATTAGCCTAATACTTTCTTTGTAATTTGTATTGCACTTCTTGTATAACCTCTTTTAAACATCACTCATAAAGTTATGTGTTTGCTTGCTTGCTTTTTTTTTTTTTTTTTCCCTTTCATTGCTCTTGTATATATGCTGTGGAAGATTGCACTTCTGTAGTTTTTACTATAAAATATTTGCATGTTACAACCCAAAATTGTCTTTCTTCATTTTTTATTTTCCTGAGTAAGTATGAATTTTTGTTACTTTTTTCCTCAAATTATTTATAGGTGAACCTTGAAAATGGTTCTGTGCTGAGAGCCAAGGTAAATTTAGTTATTTATTTTAAAATGTTTATGTCAGTTTTGTGACTGAATGTAATTGATTTGTCTTTGCAGAAAAAAAAATACCGCGTAATGGCAGCAAAAAATCTAATGGGAAAAAAAAGTAAATTTTTTATATGATGACAGATTTATTGAATCAACTTTAAGGTAGATTTATTTTCCTTAGTATTCTACTGCATGTATGTAACATTGCTGTATGGAAGGGCTATCCTTACATCCATACATATTCTGTACTTTTCAGAAGTTGGATATATGATGTATGCTAGGATATTTAACAAATGTTCAAAATATGTGGTATTGTCTTGGGTATACATCTGCGTGATAATCTGATTAATTTATTATAAATATATATCAGTTTATCAAAATTGGGCTGAAAATATTTCATTTCTGAGATCAAGATGTATGCTCAAGAAGTATACAAAGAATATATTTGGACTAAATTATGCACTTTTTAGTGAAAGTGAATAAATCAATTGGGATTATTCTCATGTAGATAACATAGCCAGAGAATCAAAAATTTTATTTTTTGTAAGCAAATTGATGTTTAAAAAACATAAGATTTTTAAGATTGTGTAAATAGAATCGAAAAACTTTTTATCACAGCTGATGCTCAAGATTTGCATTTTGGATAGGGTAACCATTTTCATGATGATATCAGTAAACAAATTAAATTGTCTGTAGATCTTTAATATAAACTTGTCATGCTAATATTTTATGAAAATTAACTATTTCAATTATTAATAGTTCATTTTAAGTAAAAACAATGAACATAAATCCAGCAAATAATAATTACTACCAGTACTAAACCACCAGGGTTATCTTCTGTAATTCCTATCCTAATGTTACTTCTGACTGCACATGTATTTCAAATTTTTATTTGTGGAAATTAATGCTGTAATATTTGATCTGTATAAAGCACACAGGATAACTGGGCTTTGTTACGCTTTATTTTAAAAAGTATTTTATTATAATGGCACTGAAAAATCATTACATAAGGGCTGTATGTTTTATTTAGAGATGGAGCTATAGGTGCTTGTAAGGGAGTATAATCTTAAGCTGATGCTTTGATTGTTTATTGTAATGAGTGTTTTATAAGATGTTGATGAATTATTGTAAATCAAAATTTGTTAGAAACCTGCATGAAATTTGTTACTGCACAGTTCCTTAACCGTTACCATTAATTCATTTATACATCAAGTAAATTTTTTTCAGCTTAAATATAAAAATCAGTCCATTAGTTGCTCTTCGCATAATTTAATAAAACCGAGTCTGCATGTTTATAAATTTGATTAAAATGAATTAGTTCTAAAATCTTGCTTAAAGTTAAATTTTAGACTAGTTACGCATCTCTGCTGAGTTCAAATTGCCATGCTTCTTTTGCATCTAGGCTTTGTGTATTGAAAAAACTGTCATGATAAATATTATCACTAATGTGTTCTGTGTCATGCAATGCTATCAAACATCTGTAGTTTTGTTTATGGCAAAAAAATGCTTATCTTAGAAATGAAGTATTTTCATCTGCACATTGGGAAGTCTACTGCAGATTTTTATATTAGTCTGTGTATGCTCCCGATTTCTGTAATATAAATCTAAATTATGGAACTAGAACTCTTACAAGCTTTAAACAATGCAAGTTTTAAACAATGGTATAAAGAATATTTGCAGTGGAATTAACTACCTGTAATATATTTAAATAAATGTAATCAAACAATTGTGAAAATATTAAAATAAAACCCGTTTTTAAGTTTCAAAGTAAATTAGGCAGTATATTATTATATGCTCTTTGAATATGTGTTCTGTTTTTATAAAATACAGTAATCATTACTTTATTGGAAATTATTTTGATATACTCTTGTTCATTATAAAGCTGCCATATACTGAAAATGAACTGCATATGCAAAAAATTGAAATGCAGTTAAACAAAGAATTATGCAGGACTATTATTAGCTCCTAAATGAAATCCACAAGAAAATAGTTATAATAAAAATAAATAGGAAAATTGAAATAATGGAAACTAGATGTAAACTGTAGTTAAAGGGAAAAGAGTAGTGGTGGACTATCTAAAAGTAGAAAGCTTGAAAAGCCAATTATAGTAAATAACTAGAAAGAATTGTTATTTAGTTAACCTGTGATATGCACAAATAGGGGTGTCAACATCTGTTTTAGAATATATGCTTTGCTATTTTCCTTCCAAGACTTGAATTTTTAATTTTGGTGTAATAATTTATAGCTTTTGTAGTCAGGATTTCAAGAACATAATGTACAAAAGAAGTAAAGAGTATGGAATGTATCTACACATTTGTGCGATGAAAACAAATGTTGGACTATTCTTTTTTAATGCAGTTAGACATATTCAGGAACATTAAACTAGGAAAATTAATGGATAGTTGCTATAAATGTGAATAAGAATTCAAAAGATATTGTAATTGAAATGTAACTGCTATGTAAAATTATTATAAATGATTCATTTGTAATCATTGAGTCACTAGAATGTGTGATGCCTTGTTGTAATGAATACAAATTTCGTTTGTTTTTTAAATGTACAAATTTAATCATTTGGCCCATTTAAAGAAATAAAAATGGTTTGTTTTTTAAATGTACAAATTTAATCATTTGGCCCATTTAAAGAAATAAAAATGGTTGACAGCTAGGATAGAGTTCTTACAGTTGACACTCTTTATTTTGGTTTTACTAAATTATTAGAAGGGGATTTCATTGGTGTTATTTTCAAAGACATTTGATAAACAGTACCAGTTTGACTGCTTACGATTTTAATATTTATAAATTTTATTCATAGAAGAAATCTTTAAGTAAAATATTTCAGTGTCTTAAAAATCATTTTGTTAAATACAGTTAATTTATTGCTATTATTTCATCGTTCTTTATTGCTATTTTGTACCTCTGTTTCATTTACACATTCAATTTAAAAGAACTATGCTATCCGTACATCTTGTTTCATTTCTGTCATTTAAGGTACATCAGAATCTTTAAGAAAAGCTGACATTAAAATTTACTATGATTAGTTTTATACTTAACTGTGAAGATTTGAGTGTATATTTGTATTAGAGAAACCTCACATGATTTATCTACAAGTGCAAGAGCTGTTTGGTGAAGAAGAAAACTGGGCTCATAGAGTTTTATTCAATTTAATAATAATAATAATAATAATAATAATTGGAAAAGTATTAAATTTTTGCATCAAAATATTACATCCGCCAAGAGCTATAAATTACTCAAAGTTGACAGATTGCATTGGGAAGTATTAAATAGGTATGTCTATTTATTTATTCCGTATGGGTAGCCGAATGAGATTTTCATACTTTTTCAAAATTATGGTGTGGATACAAGCCAGTTTCCTTAATAAAGATTGCCACAAAAACATCCCTGCTAAAGAAGATAGTCTTCAAATGTTTTCCTATATTTAATTAACACGTTGAGCGCAGCGCCGAATTTGCTGTCCTTTCTGTTCAGCTGGCAGCGAGCTAAGTCGTATTTTTGTTTAGAATGTTTCAATACATTTCATAAAACTAAATTTGATCACATTTGAGACTATATTTATTTTTTAACTAATACTTTTGGTTTCGAGGACCGACGCCAACCAAACAAAAATTCCAGTGGATGCCAGCCACACGGTCACTGCTGGTTCCCAGGAACTGGCGCTGCGCTCAACGTGTCAACTAACTAACCTTTTACTTTAAGTATATATTTTTCCTTTTTTAAAGTTTTCCCTGACTTTTTGCATTTGAGTTTGTTTCCTTGCTTTTAACTTTTCTTTTCTTTTCTTTCCTTCTTTCTCTCTTTTTTTTTTTTTTTTTCTTTTGAATTTCCCATCCACGCATTTCCTCCCATTATTCGTTTTCTTTTTGTATTTGTAGTAAATATTTCTTATTACTTTTATAAAATTTGATTTCCTTAGATGAAGGTTGATATTCACCTTCAAAAGTTTGTCCAGATGCTGCATGATGTTTCAGCATAATTCTTACACTTTATTTGTCTCTCCAAATTACTGTCAGAACTATACAGTATAATTTACAGATTTTGGCATATTTATAGTTTTTAATTTTAACTATTGCTTGTTATATTTGATACATAGATACATTTAAGCTTTTCATAACATCTTTGTGGATTGTTTTTATAAAATTAGAAATATTTTTTCCTGTTTATATTTTAGCAACATATAATATGTGTAAATATTCTGTGTTTGCAAAGATGTTTTACACCATAAAATTTGGATTTTTTTCTCGAAGGTATGGAGTCTAGAGAAAATTCTGCATGTGCCTTTTTTTTATTTTCGGATAAATGATCCCTATTGTATATGTTAAGTTTCAAAAGGGCATGCACTGTTTAAATAAGAGACATTGCAGCTGTCACTAATGAAAAATCAGGGAAGTTGTCAGATCTAACTGAACAATAAAGCAAGAAAATGCTCAACTTACTATGTACATTGACATTGGCATATCTAATGTACTAGGGTCATGTGACTTGAAGTGTAGTTATATGTTATCAGACAGAAATCAATCACCGGATGCATTGCTTACATACATACTTATAGATGAATGTATGTCTTATTTAATTTAAGCTCTGTTTTAAGTTTGACTTTGCTGTTCCAAATATGAGCATGAAATCTATGAACAGATGCATAACTTAAAACCTCACTGCACGTGAGCAATTTTAAACAGGTTTTATTACAAATGATGCAATTGTCATCAAACAGGACAGAAGTTTGTCTATAATCATGCTTTTATCAAAGTATTACATTCTATAATGAATCCAATGATGTTTAATTATTATACTAATTATTGCATATAAGTAAGTACATTTAGAATTCTTGATTAATAATAATCAAATACTGTAGAATATTGTAATAAATTATTTTCCTTCATTTCACCTTTTTTCGGAGTGAGATTTAATAATTTCTTAATTTTCTAATTTAGAGCATAGCAGTCATTTTACTCAGTCAAACAAATCCAGTTTACTAGGAACTTAACTTTACTAATGTAGGACCGTTTGTTCCAGTGTACAAGGGATGTATTTAGTTGTTTAGAATTTTTAAAAACCAGTAGAGGGATTAGTTGTAATTTTAACTAGCTTATTTCATCCTAAATTGTATTTTCATTGCACATTTTAAGTACTTACATACTTATTTTTAAAACATTTTGTTTGGATCTAGCATATGCCATACTTGCAATTTGGGCATCGTTAATGCAGAGCATCTTCTTACATGCCCAGAACTAGATAAAGAGTCTCAGAAGTACGGTGAGATAAGTAAACTATATTGGAATGGCAGAGCTTTCACAAAGTCCTTCTAACGACTACATCTGTTATGTTCCTTTCCATGTTGTTTAAGTTTTTACTTTTGTTCCCATGCTCATTTATTCTGATTCTTACTTTAAATGTTTGTTCTTTTTTTTTTTTTTTTTTTAACTGACACATATTTCCAGTTGATTGGAAAGTGTGCTACCATCAACTTGTCAAACTGAATGATACCAGCAAACAGAAAAAAAGTCAGAATTGATCAATAAAAAAGGTGTAGTATTGACTGTGATAATGCCAGACCTCACACAAGTTTGGTAACTTATCAGAAGCTATTATAGCTTGGATGAGATGCCCTACCATATGCTCCATATTCACCACCCTAGCATTCTCAGATTATAACTTGTTCCAGTCTTTATAAAATTTTTTAAATAGTAAAAGATTTACTTCAAATGCAGATGTCAAAAATCACTTAGATAAGTTTTTTGTAAGCAAAAATCAGAACCTGTCCGAGTGTGGAATCATGCTACCACTAGAAAGATGGCAAAAAGTACTGGATCAAAATGGCGAATATATAATTAAAAAAAATATTAATATATTTACTCGTATGGGCTTTTCTTTGGATAAAGTACATTTTCTTATAAACAGGGATTTTTCTTTAGTAAAACTTTGTATATTGTCTTAATGTAGGAGTGTATTAAATGAATTTGCTTCTGAAAATATATTCTATCCTGCTTATGAAAAAATTTTGCAAACTGAAAGCTAGACACTATGCTTCGCACTCCAGCCTAGTGACTCGTATAGTATATCTACAACTCTAGCGTTATATTAGTTACAAATGTACACTTATTATATTTTTTAAAAAATCCACTGTCGCTGCATGCTTGTTTTGCTTATTCAAGCTCTTTTATATAAACTGATACATGTGTTTATTGCTGAATTTCTTTATTTTCAGAATCACATTCAATAATTTGAATCTTCTCTTTCTTGAAGCTTTTTCTGTGTGGCAATGTGCCAACCAGAGACCAGTTATTCCTGGTTGAAATATATAAATTGAAGCGTGGTCCGTGGGACTATCATCTGGTGAGCATGAGGGAAAGATTCAAATTATTGAATTTGATTCCGAAGATAAAGAAGTTGTAGCGATAAACACATGCATCAGTTTACACCAAGGATGTCAAACTCGCGGCCCACAACAAATATTTTTGCGGCCCGGCCAATATATCGGCAAATAATAATATATAATAATAAAATAACATATCGACGAAGAAAAAAATGAAATGTTTACTGCTAAGCAATTAACGATAATTTATTCAGTTTTGTTAGATTACTCATAGTGAGCTGACACACACACTACTTAAATTACAAATGCGTGTGAGTAGCTTGTGTTCAGCTACCTTTGGCTTTTGGGGGACACGTGCACTCAGAACTTGTGCGCATCCCCGATAGCCGAATATGGCCGAACTCTGGTCTCAGTTTTCCAATCATAGTTTTTGTACGATATATGGTGCATGCATGTGCATGCACTTTGCTTTATTATTAATTATTACTTAATTCATATTGTTACGGATTTCATAGTTATTTATTTATTTAGTTTTTTTTATTTAGAATTGTAATTAGATTTGCTTCATGTTGCCTTAGCAATGCAGACGATTTTTTAAAAGACAGCTGCGTTGGAAGGTTAAAAATAGAACAGCACATGCATTTAATACCTAATAAATAAATATCTCATAATTGCTGTTGCCATCCACAAAAATCCAGATATTTATAGATGTTTCCAGTATATTCGAGAAATTAATTATAAAGCTTATAAAAGCCGAGAACAAACAACTCATCTCAGTAATAGCTGTAGTTCTAGCGAACATAAATCGAAATATAACAATTACAAAGAATTAACGAGAGAAGAAAAGTTGAAAGAGCTCAAGTTAGGAGTGAAAAAACAACAGTCCATGTTTAGTAAAGTATTGCAAGAAAGTGAAGCGGTGGTACATGCAAGTTACGTCTTGTCCTTTGTTGATAGCTAAACATTCGAAGCCTTTTACTGACGGTGATTTCATCAAGGAATGCCTAATGAAAGCTGGAGAAATTGTTTGTCCTGGAAATGTGAAGGCTTTTCAATCAAGTTCATTTTCTCGAAATACAGTTGCGGAAAGAGTTACTGATTTAGCCGCGAATTTAAGTGATCAGATCAAAGCAAAATCATCTAGTTTCGAAAGTTTCTACAGGAGAAGATATATTTACTTGTGTTTTTGGACTTCTGCAGAAATACAATCTACCTTTGGCAAAATTAAATTCTGTAGCTACAGATGGTGCTCCATCAATGACCGGGAAAAACAAGGGCTTCGTAGCATTACTAAGAAAAAAACTTAGTGAAATTCACGGTTCAAACATTCATCATATGCATTGTATTATACATCAAGAAGTTCTATGCACGAAAGTAATAAATATGGAGATGTTTGGTCATATATAAAAAAAGTTATAAATTTTATAAGATCTCAAGGTTTAAATCAGCGTCAATTCACTGCTTTCTTAAGTGAGTTAGATAGTGAATATTCGGGTTTGTCCTACTATACCGATGGTACGTTGGTTATCTTGCTTCCAAGATTCTCACAACAATTCCAGGATTTGAAAGAAGAAATATACCAGTTTTTAAAAACGAAAAATCAAGACATAAGTTTGTTTTACGATCCAATATCGGATACAAGATTTATCTTTCTTGGTTGATATAACCAAAACACTTAACCGATTTAAATTTATCGTTACAAGGAGAAGATCATATCATTACGAACATGTTTGACATAAATTAAAGCATTCAAATGTCAACTAGTTCTTCGGGAAAAACAACTTAAAAATGAAGATTTGACGCACTTCCCGACGTGCAGCATGAACAAATCAAGTTTAGATAATACTTGTTCGTATCAAAAATACGCAGAAAAAAAAAGAAAGAAAAATTGCAAATTTACAATTGAATTTGAAACGAGGTTTAATGATTTTAGTTCCCTCGAAGACACTTTTTTTTTTTTTTTTTTTTGTTTTTTTCGATTTTCTCAATAAGTATTGACTCAGTACCGAGCCATATGCAAATGGAGGTGATCAAGATTCTATGAAACTCAGATTTGAAAGCAAAATTCGTTGAAGTGGGCGTGCCTGAATTTTACAAATATTTACCAGCCAGGTTTGAAAATACTCGAAAATTTGCATATGAAATTATTTCCATGTTTGGTAGCACTTATCGGTGCAAGCAGTTATTTTCAGTCATGAAAGGTAATAAGTCTCCTATTAGAAACCGTATGAATGATGCTCACCTTGGGCAGCGTTGAAAGTTATCACTGCAAACAAAATTTCTCACAAAATAGGAAAGATAATAGCAGAGAAGAGATGTCAAGTATCAGGACGTAAACATTAAATTTTTCTTGTTCTTTTCTATATAAATATATATATATATGTTTATTATTGTAGTATTCGAAATAAATCTACGTTTCTATGAATATTGATTTTTTTTAAAAATCCCGCCTAAAGTTAAACCTTGTTTGTTTGGCCCAAGTGTACCTATGAGTTTGACAGCCCTGGTTTACACCAAAGCGCTCAAGCAAGCAAAACAAGTGTGTCACCATAGCAGTGACAAAGGATTTAAATTCCATATTTTGAGGCGACAATGGAATGCAAAGGATTAAATTGCCACATTAAAAAACGTAGTTATTCAACCTTAAGATTTCTTAAAATGTTGTTTATAAAGTAGTAAATCTGGTTTTACTCATGTGCACATTATCCTGAAAAGGAAGAGTTGGAAAGAAACAAAAAAATGGGTTTTGCTTTTACCAGTTCCGTTTTTTTGCAAAATGATTGTACTGATTTGCTTGGATATCCCTTTGCTTGCATTTCTGCTTCAGCAATAGAGATTTGAAAGATCTTAACTGTGCATATAAGATTTTTAGGTTCTGAATTTAAAAATTATATTTAACAAATACAATGTAAAATATGGTAATTTAATCGCATTTTCTGTCATGAAAAAATATTCATGCGATTTAAAAATGCATATGAGATTTCTTCTACGAGAGAAAAATTTTCAATATGAATTTGAACTTAATTTTAGTTATAACATATTTTTATATTTACTGCATTCAGTTGTATTTAAATAATCAAGCATTAGATATATTATATTATGTTTTTATATTGTAGTGACTGGACCTGATCCAAGTGATTCAAGTAATAGTAGCAGTAGCGAAACAATGAACATGGCTGCATCTTCCAATCAACCCTGATGAATTTTTGAAAAGTGGAATCTGTTACGAACATTTTTATAAGAAAAAATTTCAAGTCATAAAGAATCATTTCACCTTTTCACATCTTCTATCATCTTTATGTATTACTTCATCAGTGGGTGTTTCTTTCAGCAATAGATATTTGGTCATTTTCTTGAAAAACTGTTTTATTTTTTTTTTTTTTCTTTTGTGTCAATTCATGCATTAGTGTAATCATTTCCTTCGGCATTTTAATAATAAAATATATTTTAAATACAGGTAAAAAGAAATGTGACATTGTCTCTGTTTTAAAATATATTTCACATTGTTATTTTAGGCAGTTGTGCATTTCAGAATAGTATTTTTTGGATATTTAACACATATTCTTAAACACATAACTTTTGATTGTTTTGCCAGTCTTACATCAGTTAAACCACTTATTCATTTGAAATGCAGAAAGGACAGACAGATATTTGAGCAAGTTATGATTTTACCTTTTTCTCGTATTTTTAGTTTCATAGGAAGAAACTTATTGACACCAGAGATTCATTCGAATCTTCAAGTAAATGAACATTATTAATTCTGTTATGTATTTAAAGACTTATTTATAAATTAATATAAATGCTGATTAAAAATTGAACTTTTCTTAAGTATATATAGATAGGGGAAAATGTTTATTGTCCATTTATCAGATATCTCTTAGAATAATTAGAGCCTCACTTTTGGGGGTGGAATTTCCCCCCAAAATTTTGTAGTATTTTTTCATTTCAATTGTATTGATGTCTTAACTGATGTCTTCAGTTTTCTTAATAGGATTTCACAACCTTTTGACTATATGTTTTAAATAACAGTGCTATACAAGCACATCTGCTGCATTGATTCTGTTGTTTCACTATCCCTTTGTCTGCTTTCTTCACTAACACATCTCACATCTTTTCTATCTTTGTCTGTCTGTATCTTACTCTCTGTGGTTACCCTACTGCATGGAGATCCCACACTTTAACTTGTGCATCTCTCTATTCTTTATATTTTCTGTATTATTTCTTTAAAAATAACACGATATGATAACATTTGGTCAAAGTTACACGATATGATACCATTGAAGAAGGTAAAAAGTGCATTAAAAACTATTACCATAGAATATTGTGCATATTAGTGCATTATACTAACATCCTCCATACTCTTAAAATATCATGTTCAATCAGTAAAGAAATTTTTAGGGGAGAAAAATGTTTCTTACTCAATGATTTTCATACTGACAAGAGCAAGCTAAAATCTAAGGGATTATAAAATAAAATAAAACAAATTAGAGTTAAGAAAAGCATGGAAAAAGAAGCCACAAGTTAATAATCTGAGTTTATACAGAGCCAAGAGTTAATAATCTGAGTTTGCAGTATTACTGTAGCACACCAAATCATAATAATTTCTTTGTTACTGTATCCTGGATTTTGTTGTAATCATGGTGTCATCATCATTATCTTTCTCCTCATCTGAAACTTGGCACTTTATTTTTTGACCATTTAGTTATTAAAACCAAATGTAATTTACAGATCTCTTATCGTTTCTTTGAATTAGTCAAGAAAACTTGACTGTACATGTCTCTTTTTGAACTAGATGCAGTGATGTAAACTGCAGTGAATATTTTGAATTTAATTCAGTTCATAAGGACTGCACCATAGAAAATTTTAAAACTTAGCTCTTGCAACCTATTATGCATACTTTGCTGCGATGATTAAGTATAAGAAAAGTTTTTGATCAATTTTTCTTTATAATTGGTAGAAAGTAATGAAGTATGGTGTGAACTTGACAGTGATGGATGGTGATGTCTTTTAGTTTTCTCTGCAACATCACAAAAAACTAAACTATCTCACATGGTTTACAGGGCTGGGGGGGGAATATTTTGCAGACAGAAAACAAAGTAGTTGCGTTTGAAGAGTAATTTAATATTTAGTATGAGGAAATGCAAAAACTAATACTGCACAGTGTTCGAACCATAACAAAAGCTAAATAAGATGGTACTCAAGTATCTCCAGGAAACTGTATAATGATTTCAAATTCTTTAACTGCCTTAACCAAGGAATCTGAAAAGAGAGTTCAAGAATTATCTCTTGCATTTAGAAAATCTTTGTAATTAGAGCAGTCATTACAAAACTAGATGTATTGATATAACATTACATATTGCTGTTTGACAAGTCCATTAACCCCTTCGAGCCGGGTAGCGAAAACGCACGCTTATCGCTGAGGCCGGCAGTGTCTTACACGAGCGTCTCTCCAGGGCCGGGGGCTTTTTTCTACTAAGCCTAAATCCATGAAATTTCCGAAGTATCAACGCATTGTTTAATAATGCTCTATAGAGTATTTAAACGGCTTATGCTTTATAGATATTTTTATATATATACTTTAATTACCTTATTTCTTGTTTAAATGCGTATTTTACACATTTTATTTTAATTATTCACCATTTTATGAATTTTAACATTATACATCTGAAAACTAAATATATTACTTAAAATTCTCTTTTCGTATGAAAAATTTGAAAACAGGGATCTACACACAGTGCTACGTTACATTCCTTGCACTCGTAATAACTCATTTGCCGTTTTGGAGGATTTTTCCGGGAATGTGAACAAACGAAGCATCGTCGTCTCATTTTCTTATGTCTCTTCTGAACAAAGTTTTGGAAAATGTCTTTCAGTTAATCTTTCAGAATCAATATCTGAAATATTTTTGCATCATTTCTGCTATTTCATGCTCTGTTAAACATTTTCGACGCTTCGACATTGCAACGGTAAAAACAAAGAATTCACGTCTAACAAGATTTAATTATTTTCTAAAAACTGAACTGCAAACCGAAATACCCAACGCTTTAGAGCAAATAAAACTTCTCTACTTACAGTAAACAACTACCACGTGCGAATAAAATGCGATTTAAAGAGACGTCATAAATCACGCCATTCGGAAACATTTATTTCCCCGTTTGTTTATATAATCAAAAACACGTGTATGTGAGTCATGCTTCTCTCATTTCGAGTAGAAGGTCTAATGTACATGTATCTGAAACCATATGGACATACAGTGCCATCTTGTGACAGAAATTATAGTTTGAAAAACGTTCCTGGCACAAATATGTGACAGTCGGTAGAGAACGGAACAATCCTCTGGCACGCCTGTGTGTCGGCCGGTAGGTAAGTGTGTTCGTTCCTGGCATGTATACGTGACAGTCGCCGTGAAGGGGTTAAGCTCAAAAAAGGACACAAATTTGGAAGCTACTTTTAAAGAAAAGAGCAAAGATGAGTGTGCTGAATTTTGGGAAGTGAATGTCTAAAACAGTGATTCTCAACCACTGCGCCACGGCACTTTTGTGTGGCGACAGTTTTCTTTAACCACTTCCCAGTTTGCCCGACAGCTGTTTGGGTACTTGGAAATGGCACTATTTTTATTTTCCTGAGCGGCACTCGGGCAATATTATTTTCTAGTCTAATACACTGATTTGACCGAATTTTTCTTGTTTAGTGTGTAATGTTTCTAACAGATAGCGCTAGTAATCTAGTAAAGTTAGAATTGCAAAACAACTGGTTTCAAGGTTAGGTTTTGCTGAATTCTTTTACGCAAGTAAAGGCATGAAATTTCTTTTCACTATCTTGGTGTTCCGGCTACTGCGAATACTATTTCTTTTAAATTTGGAGCTAAAGTAAAAGAAGAAATGAATGATAATGAGCAGCTTATAACTGAAGATAACTCTGATATTGACTCACATAGTGAATCTGAAATTTCACGAAATGATTCTGGAAGTGAAAACAGTTTGTTTTCACAAAACCAATCTGCAAACATAGATGAAGTCATTCGAGCTATATTGTTGGTTCGCCAATAAACCAGTAGCTGCTGGTTATCAGTTTCTCAACGAGTGAGGATTCATTGATTTGTTTATAAGTAATGGTTTTATACAACAATCTCCTAATGCATTACATTAAGAGAAGAGTTATCCTTTCTTTAGGTATTTTAAATCCAGGCATAGAGTTTTGGTTTTTGGAAATATATGTATGAGATGGCAGTTTTTTCCAGCTTAAATTAGTCTCATCGGCATAAAAAAATTTTCCGCTGCATAACATTTATCTTGATTATTTGCAATTCTGTAAGTTGACGAGTAACCTCTACATTTTCAGAAGCACTTTCTTCTTGGAGCCTTATATTGTGTAGAAAATACCTTGGTTTTTAATCCTTTCCATCCTGCCCAAAATGATTGTGATTGTTGTTCTGTTCTTTGTGTATTGAATCCTGCATACACTATATCTATTAAATTATATTTTCCTCCCATTATACTATATATGTATAGTAAATAACATTTTTTCCATTTTTTTCCTTATATAGCAAATTTAACGGCCAGCAGTGTATCTAAGACTGGGATAAAAAAATGTGCACAGCTTACACTTTTTTTTTTCATCTATTCGAAAATGAAATACACAAAGAACTTATGTAGAAATGAACTTATTCATTTGATTTTTATGTTATTAAACTATCAGATATTTATATTATCTTTTAGACTAAATTTTGTAGAACCTCCTCCTCAGCATAAAACAGTGACTTGTAGACTTGCGGCTATGGAAAGTTTCCTGATAAAGAAAAGTATCTTTATGTAAAGTTCCCTTACATTAAGTAAAAGAAATGGATATTTCTGAAATGGGGAAATTGGTTATATTAGGAATACAGAAGAAGGAACTAAAGAAAAACTTTATGAGGCTTTAATGGAACATTTTTTAACAATCATCAAAGTTGATGTAGGTCAACATTTTCTTGTTAGTCCACCTCCAAAAAACGAGTTTTGGAAAATTCTACACATACTATCATAAATTCAGTAATTTCTGAAGATGAAGTACTTGCCACTCCAGAATCTAACCTTGAGAAAATACTGCTGCTAAAAAAGAAACTGAATTTTCTCAGTCCAAAAATGCAACTTATGTTATGACGAGGCGTCAAAGAATAATAAAGATGCTTTATGGATGATATCGTTGATACAAATGTTGGTTTACTTTCTTTAAACACTTTCTCAGAAATGAAAAATAGGCCCGAAAAAAAAAACAGCTTTGAAAGTGATGTAAGAAAAGCATTAATGAAACCTAATCCTCCACAAGATATGATACAGAATTTTCAATCTGCAACACGGAGTGTAGTAAAAAAATTGCGCAATAACAAAAATTGAATGCATTTTTAATAGCAGACAGCAACCTGTGTAAGAGTCTACTTGTGAAGGAGACACTTATGAAGTAATGTTAGGAAAAGAAGGAGGTG